TTTTATAACAATAAATAAGCTCCAACACAAAATAATATAATATTATAAATATGTCAAAAATTTAACTTTTTTTCTGTAGTAAGTTATACTTCAGTAAATGATATAGTTACTGATTTTGAGGAGCCTCATATTTGAAATATGAAAATATGTCATATTTAATATCAAAATAATTTATTTAAAAAAAAAGTGCAACAAAATCTGAATAATAATTTTCATCAAAAAATCACTATTCAGTAACGGTGTAAACCCCAGATTTTAATCTGATTTGCTCAAAATTTTGTATCACTGGATTCAACCATAATCAGAAGATAAAAAGGTTTATTAATTTGTGTTCATGCAACTCGTCTGGAAGAAAAAACATATTTAGGTGAAGAATAAAATAGAATTCGGCTAGACCCCATAGTCTCTAAAACACCCCATACATCAAGGAAAATCAAAAAAGTTTTAATCATAGATAAAAGAAACAACTTTAGATTGGAAAGTGCCCATAAGGACAAATAATGTAAATACTATTTGGCGCTATTTTTAAAACGGTCACTCTCCAAAGCTTTTGATAATTTCGGAGCGGTTTGGCTTTTTCCGGAATTATGTCGCCAAATATTATTTATTCAAATTTATTATTATTTTCTTCTAATTTTTTAAATAAAATACAGTATGTTGCATATAAGAAACTTTATTTTATATAAGGACACGTACGAAATACTTATGAAACATTGGAAACCGACGTTATGCCACGATCCACGATGTTTTTTCGCACAGTTCACACAGCTTATTAAGTTTTTTTGCCACTTTTTCACAATTATCACGGGTTTGAGTAAATAAAATTTAAATTAAACTCACAAGATAGCAGTGATTACTTTGGAAATTGACGCTTTAAACACTTTTCGGTATTTTTTCAATATGGGCCGCTTAAATTTTGAAAGCCTTTATAATTTTTGAAGATTCTGACTTTGACAAGAGAAAATTATTTCTGTTCTTGTTCGGTGGTTGTTCTTAGTAACCGCTATAGCAGCGCCCTACAACGTATGAGCTCAAAAACAATAATAAGTTTTGAGAGTACTCCAATGTAAACTTGTGTCCTTTATCTATGGTTTTAACGCTTTTGGCACAAAACTTTTGAATCTAAATAGAAGTAACTTAAAATGTGCCAAAATGAAGACAAAGGTCACTATTTCAAAAAGGGAAATGATGTAAAAGTACAACATAGCACTTTTAATGTGAGCGTACAGCACAATTCTGCAAGAGACTTCTGCACCTTGAAATGACAATAAGTCTTTAAAAGCTTAGAATAACTAGACAACATAAATGACGAGAGGTTCATAATATAAATTCAATAATAATTTCAGAATGTTAAATGGCAATGCTAAAACTGAAGTTCGACATTAGTTGAAAGTTTATTTCAGACTTTAACTGACAATATAGTTATAAAAAATCAATCTTAAAAGATATGTTAATTTTTCAATGTTAGATTTCGTGAAAATTCGTTAATTAAGATAGATACAATTTAGTCGTTTCATCCATACAAAGTTTATCTATGGTTTCATCCAATAAGAACTATTTAAATAAAAGGTAAATAACATGCCGAAAAATAAAAGCAATTCGTCTAAAATTAGGACAGAAGTAGGCAATTAAAAAAATATAGCTTGCTGTTACCACGTCCCCTAATACTAAAAACAAAAACGATAACCCTCTATCTCTTTTCATTGTCCAATCGATAGAGACAACGCCGTCTTTACTGTTTTGACGATTTTTATGTAGTAGAAAGGCCAGCTAATAACAGAAGATAACACGACAGACAACACGTCGCGTTGAAGACTTATAAATAGGCCAATTTCAATTAAGACATCTGGTAAAAAAATGTAATTAGACAGAAACCCGTTTTGTTGTAAGGATCATAAATTTCCGAAAAAACGATGAGACATAATCGATATAGTTAGTTGTTTTTAGTGTCTTTGGATATTTTAATAATGCAATTTATTACAGAAACACCAAGAGTTGTAACAGAAATGACATTTAATATGTCATTGTTTTTTATACCTAATTATCAGCCAGTTATAGGTCAATACTTTTAGTTTATCATGTATAATCTGTCTAGTGATGGAATATATGACTTTGAGAGAAGGCATTTTAAAAAATACACATAGTACAATCTAGGAACTTGTCACTATTGCAAATCATGATAAAAGCTAAAAGATAAAATTTAATTTAAAAAAAAATAAGAAAATTTAATAGCAGTAAACTCGCTATGTTACATGGACAGAAACTTCCCAAATCATTGACTAATTAATCTATAAATAAAAAAACGTAACAAAATCTTCTTCTGTCTATTTTATCACTAAATATTTATAAGACAAATCAAAATTTAAAAATCATGAAATGTAAATAAATATATTGGTACTCATTACTTCATTTCTGAATTTATTACTTTTATTTATGGATAAATGAAATAATTTCGTATGCAGCTATTAAACTAAATATACCCAGCATAAGCGTTGAGAAAAAATTCTGGGTATTCATTTGATCGGGTATTTTTAACATCACATCTGTGTTTTCTTGAATCCCGTCAAAAAAAATCTATGACAATTTTGTTTGTTTCACGTTGCATTTATTAATGAAATAAAATAAATTGGAGCAAAACTGAACAAACAATTCCCCAGGATAAATGCTATAGATTAAATAACTTAGATTTATATTTTATATTAGATACAATATTTCATGAATATAAGTAAATATATCGAAAAAAGTCCTCTCATAAGAAATAATAGTTCATACATTATTTCACCTTACTGATGATACACCATAAAAGTTCTAATAATTATTTCATAAACTGAAAAGACTAATTGAAAAACTAACTAACTACTAATTAAAAAAAAAAAATTATTAGTTATAAAAAATTGGTCAAGTGCGAGTCGGACTCGCTCACGAAGGGTTCCGTACCATTCATTATCTATATAACTTTAGGCACTATATTATTATAAACTTTTTTTTCGATTTAGCTGAAATTTTGAATGCGCGTATAAGTAATTTTAAAAAAATAAAGAAACACATTACTGAAAATTGTATTAATCAATAATAAATATGTAAAAAGTAAAAATAAATATGTAAAAATATGTAAAAAAAACGATTAAAAAAAGTTGCCGTGACTAGGATTCGAACCTGCCTTACTACGGCTCCAACGTCATAGCAGCCTAAAGTCCTAACGCTTTAACCACGCGGCCACCGAGGACTTGAAAGATTCTATGTAAAATTCTTACTTAAAAGATAATGTTTAGTGCAAGTACTTTTTTATTTATAAACATTTATTTAATTCTGTTTTTAGTATTTGTTCTTATAGCGGCAACATAGATACATTATCTGTAAAAATTTCAACTGTCTAGCTATAACGGTTCATAAGATAGTGACAGACGGACGGACGGACTGACATTCCCCTTTTTACTCTTTGGGTACGAAGCCCTAAAAATGACGCAAAAAATTACAACCAAACTGTGATATGACTAAAATCACAACCCATATACGACAAAATAATGGAATAAATATACTAGATATCATTGTTTCACATTTTCAACAGACACACAAAAAAACGTAATGTAATATTGAAGCCTCCTGCAGAACTAGTCAAATTAAAAACAAAAGCAGAAAATATGTCAAAAAATAAACCATGGGCAGTTGTCATCTCTGACCAAAAATTGAAGAATAATTCTTTCTAATATAAACTTACCGGCAGAAAAAAACGGCCACTAAAAATTAGTCCCAATTACAAAGTTGGATTTCTCATTATATTTTGATGATTTTTTTTAAATTGTAAATTAATTCCTTCTTAATGGATGCTACGTCAGAAACTTTTATTCCGAATTTATTTTGAGCATTATACAGGGCACAACAATAAGACGAAGTTTTTTGCCCGAACTTTGTAACACCCTGTAGGGTGCAGCAGCTGTAGTAGCTATTGCTAAATCAAATCACAATGTAGCCTCATCTTTTGTGAGCATTTTATTTTTTTAATCACGACATTATCTCTCTTTTTATTGAAGATACGCTGCTTTAAAACAAACGTCTCGGAAAAATGCTTCGGAGGCAGAAAGTTTTATGTATATATAATCAAGGCGACATAGGTAAAAACGGATTTATAAGTATTTGCAATATGACAACAACGGTTGTCAAATTAAAAAATGCCATTATCTGTGACGAATGTTGCTCGTATTGTGGCTTTAATTGAGGATGGCCGAAGTCAACGTTATGTGTCCGATACTCTTGGCATACCTCGAACAACAGTCCAGGATGCCTGGAATCGGTATATGGAAAGGAGAAATTTCACCAGGCGAGTGGGTTCCGGAAGAAAACGAAATTGTCATGAATACTTTACGAAACCGTAGAATTACAGCGTTTCAGAATCAACATCTGCTACAAGCCGTGCTTAGAACTCAAGTCAGTGAGAGAACAATCCAACGAAGATTAAAAGAAAACAGCTTGTCTGCAAGGAGGCCTGCCACAGGACCCCAGCTACTTCCAAGACATCGTTGAGCACGTCTTCAGTTTGCACGTTTACATGTAAATTGGTTTGGTCGCGGTTTTGCCTGCAAAGCATTTTTTCCGAGACGTTCGTTTTAAAGCAGCGTATCTCCAATACAAACAGAAATAATGTCGTGATTAAAAAAAAATGCTCACAAAAGATGAGGCTACAATGTGATTTGATTTAGCAATAGCTACTACAGCTGCTGCACCCTACAGGGTGTCCCAAAGTTCGAGCAAAAAATTTCGTCTTATTGTTGTGCCCTGTATATGCTTAAAATAAATTCGGAATAAAAATTGGTGACGTAGCATCCGTTAAGAAGGAATTAATTTACAATTTAAAAAAAATCATCAAAATCTAATGAGTGGTTCGCGAGAAATCCAACTCTGAAATTGGGACTAGTTTTTAGTGGCCGGTTTTTTTTTGGCCGGTGAGTGTATTTTTAGTTAAGCTGCAAAATATAAAAAAAAACGTGTCATTTTGATTTTAGAAATGGAACCTGTAGCATCAGAATTCGAAGAGCTGATGGTATGCGGTTGCTGCAAGCAGAAGTTCAACGATACAGATCTGAGCCCGAAATTGCTCTCCTGCAAACACTACTTTTGTCTGCAGTGTACGCGCACCAGCCTCGTCAAGGGCCAGGAACTGTACTGTGTGTACTGCTGGAAGCGGACGGAGCTGGGCGATATGGGACCGGAATCGCTGCCTACCTACACGCCGGTTTTATGTTTAGCCAAGAACTTTTCGCAACTAAGTCTCGGAATGAAACCGCCGGAAAAGGCTCCGGTACAGCCAAAAGTATGTACACCAACATTATCACTGATATTTCATCATTTTCTAATAGCAAATAAAAATAATAAACACTCTGATACAAAAATACGCAACTGAGACATTTTTGATCAAATTTCAAATGTTATATTTTTGTTATTTTTAGCCCTACTTTCATAATTTTTTTTAGCAAGCTGTATATAATTATATCACCTTTTATTCGTAAACTCTAGTATTTGGTATATTGTACAGGGTTAATCGAGGGGTTGTTTTTTTTTACCCTAACTTTAAAACACCCTGTGCAATAATTTCGTCTGAAATTTTCCTAAGATATATATGAGATTTTGGATTATGTCAATACATGCCTTGGTTAATTTTTAAGAGCGAAATGAGCTTGCCACCAACAATTTGCAATTTTTTGAATTATCATTTCTTTTTTGAAGTTATTTTTCAATGTGACAAGGCGGCTTTGGTGATTATTGTGAACTACATACTACTATGAAGTGCCCAACATGTTCAACGTTTGGCAAATGCTTGGCAGGAGGGTAAGAGGTCGCGAAGAGGTACCAGCTTCATTAAATGAACGTCAATTGGTCCTTAAAGAAGAATGGGAAAACATAACGCAATATGATATATGCAGCCTCAATGACAGTATGAACGGACGTATACAGGCAGTTATAGTATTAGGGTATTTTTTACAATTTTTTTTTCTGTTTATATACTTGAGTATTACAGATGTTTTCTTTAATATCGTTAGTTCTGTTATCGTTTTTAATGTTTATTAAAACCCGGACTGTATCGTTAGTCTTTAACGTTTTTTTTAAATTTAGTATAGAATATCAATGCAGTGTAATTATGATGTTACGACAATAGTCACCAAATTCATCTCGTCATATTAAAAATTTACATCAAAAAGTAATGATAATTAAAAAAAGCAAATTGATCGTTATCGGTTCATTTCGCTCTTAAAAATTAACCAAAGCATGTATTGACATGAATCAAAAAATAAAATGGTCAGTCATAGTACTGACCGTAAAATTATATTTTAGGAATATTTACAGACGAAATGATTGCACAAAGCATTTTAAAGTTAAGGTAAAAAAACGACCCCTCGATTAACACTGTATAATATGCCAAACAATAAAGTTTATAAAAAGCTGGGTTAACGAATTAAAGTTGATATAATTATATACAGCTTGCTAAAAAAATCATGAAAATAGGGCTAAAAATAACACTTTAAATTTGACCAAAAATGTCTCCGTTGCTTTTTTTCTGAGTGTATTTGTGAAAATTATCCTCAAATATATTACTGATCGGTAATGGAATACGATTTAATTTCAGGTGTGCTCGGAGAACTGTCACACCCACGCCATGCCGCTGGTGCTGTGGTGCCACACCTGTTGCGCGCCTGTGTGCCGCGCTTGCGCCTCTACTGCCGAACACGTCAACCACAAGGTAAAGTCGCAAGCCGAGGCCAAGGAGCAACTGGTGGCGGAGATGCAGATCGACCTGGCCTCGATGAACAAGATGCTGTCCGAGATTCAAAGACTGGCCATGCAGCAGCGCGAGTTCCTGCTGAAGATCCTGGAGGCGTGCGTCACGTTGAAAACGCACGTGGAGGCCGACCTTACGAACAACGCGTCCCACTTCGAAATCGGCGAGACGCGCGACCTTCTCGCCAAGCTACGACTGAACCTGTCCATGGCGGAGAGCCTGAGCGACGTGCACGGCATTTACTCGAGCGTGAACGTGGAGAAGCAACGCCTGCAGATGCGCTATCACGAGATGTATTTGCAGTGTCAGCTGGATGACTTGATTCGAAACTCGTCGATGGTGTTTGACTTTCAGCTGTTGAAGCAGGCGCTGAGCAGTATCCATAATGGCGAGGGTGCCTTTTCCGGAAATTCGCGCGTTCTACCTCCCTCTCAACAAAACCCAATATTATTTCTCGCCAATTACTGCATGTCGCAGCTGTACTCGCGACACGTGCTGGCCAAACAGCCGACGAACGGCATGTTGGACTATCACAATCATAACCACGCTCTGAACCACAACCAAAACGTCGTACCTCCAATCAACTACCTCGGTCATGCCCACAATGCCCAGCCAATGATAGCTACACCTAAGAATATTTACCAGGATAACAATTTGATGATGCAGCCCATGGTACCGTCGCCGCAGATTCGGAATCCGTCGAGCATGTGTCCGCTTTATTACTTCAACGTCGAGGTGAACGGGACTCAGATGGGGCGAATTGTGATAGAAGTTCGAGCGGACGTAGCGCCGAAGATGGCCAAGAACTTCGGAGTTTTGACCACTGGGGAGGCGGGTATGGGGTACAAAGGCTGTCAGATATTCCAGTGTTGGGAGGGAGAGAGTGTGATAACGGGTGATTTTGAACTGAACAACGGACGAGGCGGTAGGTCCATCTTCGAGGAGTCTTACTTCCTGCCCGACGACACCAAACTTGTGGCTTCACGCGGAACGGTCGGTATGCGCCGAACCCAAAAACGACACGACAACCTGGGCATGGTGGGCTCGCAGTTCCGCATCATACTACAGGAAATGAGGGGATTCACCGGCATTTTCGGCTACGTCGTAGAAGGCCTGGAACTGGTGGAGAAGATCAGCACGTACGGAGACACCGCGGGCAAGCCCACCAAAAACATACTGATAGCTAAATGCGGCAAGCTGCAGTAGTAGCTAGGTTTAGTATAGGCTCGTAGCGCTAGATTTCGTAGGTGTGACAATAACGACAGTACATAATCAAAGCATCGTTCTGGTTTCTTTTTTATACGGTTAACGAAAAAATTGAAGAGCGCATGATAAGACACGCGGGCAAAACGTATTTTCGCTAAAATGTTTTGTAGTGTCCGAAGACGAACAAGTCGAATTTTTCCAATTACCGATGTTTTTTAGAACCATATACGGTCTCGAACTAAAACCATAACTTTGGATGCATGCAAGTGCAAAATAATGCAACATATAGGGTGACTCTTAAATTAGTGCAAATATGGTGCATTGGCACTTTTTTTTATTTTTTAATTAAAAAACATAATATCTTCATAATATGGTAAAGTAGGTAGTAGATTAAATTTGCAAGAAAGAAAACATCCAGAATGGTTCTCAAAATTTAAGCGAAAAATGTTTTTTTTTTAATTTTTAAAGTAAAATATCTCGGTTATTTTGGACTTTGAAAAACGGTAAGAAGAAAATATCTATGTCTCTTTTATCGAGGTCTACCAGTCCTGAAAATATTGGCACTTATTTAAGGCTCACCCTGTATAAAATAAAATAAATCGAGAGATGAGTTAGAAGCAAGAAGAATAAATAAACAATGAAAACAAGTTAGCTGTTGTCTTAATCCGAGTATAGTATTCTTTATATAGTTTTTTTTGTATAGGTGTCACTGCGCAGTAGGTCAGTAAGGTTCTGTAATAATTCTGCGCAGCTCAGATTAACACAGCATCTGTTGCATCGATTTTAACACTTGTGTATGCCAAACCTTTTTCTCGCACAGTCTTTACATTAAACATCGGTAATAAATCACTATAATAAACCGTCGATGTAGTTTTAAGAAAACAAAAAAAAATCTATTCGGTGTAATCATAAAACTCTAGCTTATAAAATATTTGAAGAAAAAAAAAATAGATGTTTATATATGTGTAGCTTCAAAGAAACATCCGAGCGCGATGATCTAATATGTCTAAGCTTACAAAACGAATTTCGAAATATACCTATATTTTCGTATTATATGATAAATATCGAAAGAGCATATTATTAATTATGGAGCGATATTTTCTATTGTTGTCGATATTTTTTAGCTTCTCAACGTTAGATTTATAAATATAGTCTTTGTTACGTTAGGATTACGGGGATCGAATGTTAAAGATATCAGAGTTTAAACGAGGAGCGCGGTAACGAATAAGAAAAAATTATCCCGGACGAATTTATTTATTATTGAAAGCGAAGCGATGATAGAGAGAGAGAGAGAGAGAGAGAAGAATTCCACTTAACGAACGTTTAGAAACGTAGATTTTCATTTTATAAAAATGCTTCCTAATTTTATATTTATTACTATATATTATAGTGAGTTTAATTTACTGTACCTTATAGCATTAGTTCCAGTGCAATAGTTACTTTGCACTATAAATGGTATAGTTTTATAGGTTATGTCGTACTCTTAAGTTCAACTTGTACGTTAATACATTACTTAAGCCCCTTTTACATTTGTCACTTTTTTTCAAGGCCGCCAATGTCAAACTTTTGAGGTTATGTTAGCTGAGTTTATTTCCTCCTACATTACATTTGAAAGTGCAATTAGAAAAATATAGAGTTTTCGTTTTAGACATATTTTTGAGATAAGTTCATCGAGGTATTGAACATAATTGACTAGTGTAAAATGGGCTTTAGACCTAAATTTGTATACGTCTGTTCTAAAACATTATATTCCAACCGCTGGATCATAAAACCGCTAATGTATTAACTTGCAAATAAGATTACATTAACCAAAGTCTTATGTAAAAAACATGTAGTACAACAAATTGTAAAAACGATGGGAAAGTATGTAGAAAACAGAGGCCTAATATTAAGGAAAAAGCGTTAAATAATATATTTAATATATTTATTTAAACCGAGAGCGCAATGTTGTAACAGAACAGCACTATGTGGCTTTATAAAAATAAATCTGGTAATATCATCAAAGCTGTTTTTAGCCTTCTTCACTAACTGTCGACCTCAACTAACAATTCCGAAACAACGAGTTTATTCGTGTTATCATTATCCCGACGTGCATATCATCTTCTTCAAAATTCTCCCAAACCTTCAGAAAATATTCTTTTGTGCCTTACGATTTAATTTCTAGGACGCGAAATTTGCTAGACTTATCATCCGGTTGTAAAAAAATTGTATCTGACCAACGTGAACAAACACAAAACCAAAAATCATGAACGAAAATAGTACAAAAGGCATAGGACTGAGAGAATACAAAAATAAATAAATAGAAGACTATAGTTTTGGTATACTAAATTCAGGATAAAATTATTTGTTTCAGCCAAAGTTCGCTGCTAGTATCTAAGCAAATGTAACATTTAAATGTAGATAGTTGATGTTGATGTGTCCAATTTTTTGTTTTGTGTCAAAATAAAATAAATATAATTGAGGTACATCCACTGGTCTTGTTTTTAATATTATATTATATGAAGATTTAATTTTAAATCAATTAAAATCTATCTAGTGTACATCAGACGTGTTTTTAGTATAGCTAAATTTTGAAGTATCAAAATCAAAATATATGACTATATTTTTAATGTGAAAAAACACCTAGTTAAAAATCTACTAATTAAAATTTGTGGTGGTTCTTTATTTAAACAAAAATTTTCAAAACTAACAAAAATAATGTACTTATAAACCACCCCAAATCACATCCACAAAAACCCTACTGATAACAAAATTTTAGTATTTCTAGATTAATTTTCAATAAATACATTATCAAATTGCTGGTAAACCTATTACTAAAAAAAACCAGATTAATTTGCTTTCAAGTGTTGAAAAAGAAAATTTATCTGAAACGCTTCAAAAATAAATCCATTTTGGATTAATGTTATATTTTTAAAAGCAAAATTTATTGCTAAATAGTGTTCAAAAATCAAAGTATTTAATTTAAAAAATACATTTTACTCTGAAAGTAAATTTGAAGCAATTCCTGCTACAGTACAGTCACCTAAAAAATAACCAACGGAAAATATGATATGGAGTTATTTTGGAACAGTGGATCACCTCCTACAAAATACTCATCATATTCACATCTGTGTTTAATCTTAATTCATCATATAACCGTCCCAAGTTAAAAAAGATATTATATTAAGACATATTTTTCTTCTATAAACAAAAAATTATTAAGCATTTCAGTTTGCATTTATCTGCATTTAGTAAATAACTATACATATATAATTACCTTTAAATATCAGCCAGTATGGACAGAAAATACAGGGTTGTTTACCACATACGACACGGAGTATTGTACCTAAAAGATTAGATTTTTACAAATTGTAAGTTTTGGGTTCATTGAAGGACTATTAGAGCTACAATTTAAAAATATTTTTACAAGATACAGAGTGTCCCAGATAAATAAAAAATATCAAAGTTGTATTTTTTTAAATGGAACACCCTGTATATTATTACATTTTTAGTTTCTACCATTAAAATAAAGGTAAATTTGGTAAAGGTTTATTACACTTAAACCTTACCGTTTTTGACATATTTTCAATTTTGTGAAATTGCAGTCAAAATTTTAAGGCTTCATTTCTACAAGGGTATCAAAGTTTTTAATACTAAATATTTACTGAAGTTTATTTATTGATCAGTTATTGTGTTGCAATAATAAAAATTATACTACCTTATACAGAGTGTCTAAAATGTTATTTTAAATAATTACTAGCTTTAAACGGCAATAACTTGTTTAATTTAAATGGAACACCATGTATATTTTATGAGAACCAGATGCACAGTTTAATTGTCTATCAAATTGTATTATACCATTTTTACCTATCGCTTCAAGTTTCCGTAGAAAAATGCATTTTCTTGTAATTTTAAGTTCATTTATCAATATACCCATGGAATACTGACATTTGAGATTATTTTTAAAGATGTACCAAATTTTTAAACAGTACAGATACTAATATATTGTCGATATAGTTTGTTTATTTCCTTAAAAAATTAAAAAAAACTGTTTAAATATTTGTTAAAGAGAACCAATTAATATAATTCCAGTATTCAAACTACATTAATTGACTGTTTGCATTGATTAATAATAATGGCACCAAATACTAAAAATTTGAATTTTTATGTGTATTAGATAGTGTGGTAAAAAGTAACACCTTAAAAATGATATTTCATTTTTTGACAAATGCTTATTTATAACAACAGAGACATTCATTTTTATAACTTATTATTATATTGATTTCTGATTCAAATCCACATTTATTTAGAATAATTTATTAACGAACATAATTAAGTATGTAATTGATTACAATTTGGGCGGAAATAATGGTGGTATATTTAATTAATGGTATACTCTGTTATAAAGATTTAAATAGTTTTCTTTTTGCATACAAATGGGCTAGTAATATTATCATTTTGCTAAAAACGATAATATTAATAGGCTGTACATTTTGTACATTTGTTGTTATAAAAACAATCTAAAATGTCAATATTCCATGGGTATATTGATAAATGAGGTCTAAATTATAATAAAATGCATTTTCTACGAAAACTTGCAGGGATAGGTAAAAAGTGGAATAGTAATAAAAGGGATAAGTAAAAAATTTGATAGACAATTAAATTATGCACCTGATTCTCCTAAAATATACAGGGCGTTCTATTTAAATTAAACAAGTTATTGCCGTTTAAAGCTAGTAATTATTTAAAATAAAATTTTAGATACTCTGTATAAGGTAGTGTAATTTTTATTATTGCAACACAATAACTGATCAATAATCAATAAATAAACTTCAGTAAATATTTAGTATTAAAAACTTTGATACCCTCGGAGAAATGAAGCCTTAAAATTTATACTGCAATTTCACAAAATTGAAAATATTTCAAAAACGGTAAGGTTTAAGTGTAATAAACCTTAATCAAATTTACCTTTATTTTAATCGTAGAAACTAAAAATGCAATAATATACAGGGTGTTCCATTTAAAAAAATACAACTCTGATATTTTTTTATTTTTTTGGGACACTCTGTATCTTGTAAAAATATTTTTAAATTGTAGCTCTAATAGTCCTTCAACGAACCCAAAACTTACAATTTGTAAAAATCTAATCGTTTAGCTACAATACTCCGTGTCGTATGTGGTGAACAACCCTGTATATTTTTTACTTTTAACCCTATTTTCATGAATTTTGAGCCTGTATATAAATATATCTACTTTAATTCGTCAAGTTTAAACTCAGTTTTTTATAAACTTTAGTTGGTATACCGGGTTAATTGAAGGGTTGTTTCTTACCCTAACTTTAAAACACCCTGTGCAATAATTTCGAGAGTAACTTTTCCTAAAACTGTATTTTTCGATCAGAATCATGTCTCCTGAACATTTTGATTTTGACTCATGTCATCACATGCCTTGATTAATTTTTAAGAGAGAAATGAACCTGTCACCAACAATTTGCAATTTTTTCAACTATCATTACTGTATGATGTTATTTTTTAATATCACGAGGTGACTTTGGTGACTATTGTAATGTCATATCGACACTGATAGAACTCTATTTGCCAAAAAAAAAACAAGGAAATAGGACTAAAAATGAAAACGATATAACATTTTAGACTTGACCAAAAATTTTTCCGTTGCTTTTTTTGCATCTGAGTGTATACTCACTAGATTTTCGATAATCAACTTATAAAATATCTATAATTTAAGTGTTTCTTTAATATTACTAAATAGCTAAATTAATTTTCATATGCAAGATTTTTTTTTTCACTAAACGCGTCTGGTGTACACACATATCAAACCTAAGTATATTGTTTAACTATCAAAGAAGTTTATATCAATTAGAATTACATGTATAGCGCCAAACACTTGCTTTTTATTATTTCTGGTAAATTACCCTGTATATACTGTACTAGATATAAAACGTAATCAATGTGTGCATAAACAGTTAAACGTAGACTAGACCTCGTCGGTAGTAAATGTAAACGTCAAACGGTAAATCAGTGGCATATGTCCAATGTAGTGTAAAACTAATATGTAACTATTAAAGGTTGTAATGATATACTGACTGCGCCGTTTCAAAGCCACGTTTGTGTAATGTGTAGCTCAGTACAAAGTTATTTAAACGTAAAACCACCCAGAATCGACATTAAATTTTATTACTTTTACAAGTTTTCTTCTCCTCAAGTTTAAAACTGCAAGAGGCACCTACTTCAAAAATTGATTTACTACCTACTTAACTTGATTTTTATTTTGAATTATAAAACCAGCTTTAATATATTCAGTTTACAGTTGAAAATGGTCAGCGATACATTTGACCGAAACGTTGTGTAAGTGAATTAAATAAAAACAATAGACGTTCGATTACTTTCGGTCGCTTCCTGTTTCACCAGAAATGACTACAACTTTTAATTTTTAAATAGCACCCTCGGTATTTTTTTTACTTTACTCGACAGAAAATGACACTCTGAATAGAATGACGTATCATATGTCAAATTTTGATATTTTCGCACGGCTGTGATAAAACACTAATTTTTAATCAAGAGTCTTGGAAAAATCTATTTTATGCTCTACTGTTCTTGGTGTCTCGTCCTGGTCGGTTAAAATATGCCTAAATCATATTTATATTCATAGCTCATTTTTTTCAAATGGAACGAAGGTGGACATTAGCATACTTGGAAAAAGCATTTTTTACAAATAATTTGGTACCACACAATTGGTATTTCGAGTCAAATTGTGATGAACCTCATGTTACAATTTCAAATAAACCATATGCGAAAATGTCAAAAGTTGATACATGATATGTCATTTTATTCAGAATGTAATTTTCTATCGAATAAAGTAAAAAAATACCGAGGGTGTCATTCAAAAATCAAAAGTTGTAGTCGTTTCCGGTAAAACAGGAAGTGACCGAAAACAATTTAATACGTCAAGCAATCCTTATTTATGTCATATACTGACGTACCAAATAAAAAAAAATAAAAAAGTTTTAGAGGTGAATGAATGCACTTTTGAGAAACGCCCAGTATATTTTTTTCCTGAATAAATATAGTTCGAAGAAATGTTTACTTCATAATAAAAATTGTCACCAAAAATTATTAATTCAAAAGATGAATGATTACAAAAAATGTAATTAAGATGTAATTGCTTGAAAAACCAGATAAATTCTTGGCAATTACAACAAGCTTTTAAATGACTATTATCAATTTATAAAAAAACATTATTTTATTTCTGTTCGACCATAAATATAGCATAACATTAATATTAATCAACCTAGATAAATTCAAATAATTGTCAAATAATAATTTTTAAAGAATTCTTTTTAATTTATATTTATATTTTAGGTTAAAAAAGATACAGTGCAATATAATATCCTGGCAATTTTTGGTAGAATTTTTATTTATTTTCTTTTATTAAGCAAAAATTACATTCTCACTTTCTTTTTTAAATAAATTATCAATTGTAACTTAACATTTTATAGCAACCAATGAACTGCCATTCATATTACTTTATTATTGTTATTCACTATTTTTTCATAGCTTCTACACATACATAAGCTGTTGTAACACCCAAAGGTTCCAACCCTCAACTATAATCTAGAAAAATGTACTAAGAGTAGACTAAATCATAGATTTTGACAGAATCGCGGTTAATGTATTCATATGGAAAATTTCATAGTGTGAGTCATTCAAGAAGCCCTGAAATTCATTAGTTAATAATTAGTGCAATAATTAATTGACAAAATACATTTATGTGTATTCAAATAATTCTTTCCTATGTTAAAATAAAGATGATTTATTTATGCTAATTCAACCCTCTTGCAGTGTAACTATTTTTTTAATAACACAAAAATTGATCTAAAATCAAATATGATACTGGGTGTGCTACTTTTTACCTAATCCTTTCAACGCGAGAACTCAATGTAGGAGTGTATGTGCCTTGTTACCCAACTAATATTTGTGATAACTAAGTACCTACCACCTCATGTTAGATGATTTCAAATAAAATTACTTTCCGCATCTGTAATAGTTTGTTTTATTTCTAACCATCTAGTAGCGTAGTACATAGAAAATATATAACTATGTTTTTTGTTCAAATTATTATTAATTAGAATAGCATATTCTTTAAAATATTTAAAATTAGTATAAAATTGATCACTATACATGGTGTCTCAATATTCCGTGGACATAGAACTACTACGAATTTTTAGAATCAAAATAAGTTAATTGCACACAATTTACCTCTATACGAAAATGCTTCCTTTGTCCATCAGAGGGCATCAATAAAAAGTAAACCCGAAAGTTAATTAATATAAAATTTATGAATCTTATTGTCAAATTTGTGATACTATCATAAAATTCCATATTTTCGACAACTAGATTATAGGCGCATACTAGATTTTATGCGCCTACATAGCTTGATGTGACAAGAAACATTTTTTTACAAAAGACAAAAATTGGTCGTCGGTAGACTTGGAAAATATTTCAACTAAAATTTATGTAGTGGTGGGAGTAGTTTTTAATATGGGGACACCCTGTATAAGTAACACCAGCAGCAGATTATAATTATTAAGTAAACCAATTAAGAAAGAATCAACAAAGAACTAACTTTTTTTGTAGTAACTGATTTCTAGCCTCTGTTTTAAGACTCCCATATATAAAGCTTGTCCAACAGGAGAATACATGAGAGATGCAGTGTTGTTTCCTGTCATTTTAAGGTAATTATTGGGAAAACTGGAAATCGTCCGATTATCACCAAAATTGATATACACCCTATTTTGAGGTTGTAGATTACGTATCTTTTTTCTGGCGGTCTCTTCTGTTTTTCAGAAAAACGAAAAATTATTTCAACATCGAATTTTTCTTAATTTTTCATATTTTTAAGGATTTCTAGCACATATTTTGCTAGGTATTCAATAAACAATGAGGTTTTTGCTATTTTCTGTTACTTTTTTTAAGCAATTCTATGCATAATAGAGGAAAATTTGCTAAAATAAATTTGTAAACAATCTGAAAATATTGGGTGCCAACGCTAAACCTAAAGTTAGCGCGTTTTTTTTTGCTCCCTCGGGGATTACGAAAGGCGGTCGCCAGAGGAACGGCTCCTTCCCATAACTGCTATTTTACCTTTTTGTTATATTATATCAAAAAAAGATTACCCCCCTCCGCAAGGAAGTTTAAACCAATGCAAATTTGAATTAACCCCCTCTGCAAAGAAATTGAACCAATGCAATCAAAACTCTTTCGTGCAACTTCGTGGATGTAGGTATATTTAACTATTGTCAGATCTCATAAGTACATAATTTATTTAAAATCTCTAATCACCCGAAAAAATACAATAACAAAATATGGCAACGTTGCAAATTTTCAAATTTCTAGATTAGATCTAGAATATATTTGTCTCTCTCATTACATAGGAGAGAGAAAGAAGGATATATGAAATGTCAAACTTCCATCTTGTTTCAATTTTCTTTGTCATTTTGTTAAGAAAAGTGATTTTCAGTAAAATTTTGGACATTATTCTATCTTCAATCAAGTGTGGCTTTTAGATAAACTATAATATAATGAAAATACAGTGAAATTATTACTTTATAGTGCTGAAATAAAGAAAAATTCAATGTTGAAATGATTTTCCGTTTTTCTGAAAAACGGTAAGAGACGGCCAGGAAAAAATTGGTCAAGTGTGAGTCGGACACGAGCACGAAGAGTTCCGTACCATTCAGTATCTATACAATATTAGACACTATGTTATTATAAACTTTTTACCGATTTAGCTGAAATTTTGAATACGTGTATAAGTAATTTTAAAAAAATGAAGAAACACATTACTAAAAATTGTATTAATCACTAATAAATATGTAAAAATAAAAAAAACCGATTAAAGAAAATTCGCCTTGACTAGGATTCGAACCTGCCTTACTACGGCTCTAACGTCATAGCAGCGTAAAGTCCTAACGCTTTAACCACGCGGCCACCGAGGACTTGAAAGATTCTATGTAAAATTCTTACTTAAAAGATAATGTTTAGTGAAACTACTCTTTTATTTATAAACATTTAGTTAATTATTATGTTTTTAGTATTTGTTCTTATATCGGCAACATAGATACATTATCTGCGAAAATTTCAACTGTCTAGCTATAACGGTTCATAAGATAGACCTTTGTGACAGACGGACGGACAGCGAAGTCTTAAGGTAAGTTTATATGCATCCGTAATGCGTCGTCCGTCGTTCCGTTAGTCCAATCATATTCAAGTATGAGATGTCATTTTTGAAATAAACCAATAAAATTACATAAAATGAACGACGGACGACGCATTACGTATGCATGTAAACCCACACTTAGTAATCGGGTTTCCGTTTTTACCCTTTTGGTACGGAACCCGAAAAAGTCCAGATTCGTAATCTACGACCTCAAAATAGGGTGAATACCTTTGAATAAGAAGACTAAGGAAGGAGCATATCAAAAATCTTAGGTACACCGCGATGGGCCTCAAATATAGCCGACTTAAATTCCGGTTTATCAGTGCCGTTCTAATTTTATTTAAAAAATGTAAAACTATGATGTAGGGTAGACGTGGGGTAGACTCAATAATTTGTTGTTTTATTTTACTTTGTGAATAAATGTTGGCAGTTACGCTACTGAAGCAGGTAAGTCAAATTAACGTATCTAAATTCTTTGACATCTAATCTTTGACAAGTAATAAATAAAAGCTAAAATGCAAGAAAAATATATAACTTAGTTAATTTAAGTGAATTTCATAAATGATCGGTTTACTACACGTATGTATATTATATAGTCACTTACTAGCGAAAAGTTGTACCATTATTTCACTCAATTTTTGCCGAGATCTACCGCACGCTATACAACCAACTATTTTAGAGTCTTTTTCGATAAATCGCAATAGTGTCACTGTTAATTTAAGTTCTGCCACAATTTCCATCTAGATTTACTACCTTTATACAACTATCAGTAGTAGAATAAATAATAAATAACATAAAATAAGCTCCATAAAGACTGACAAATCCACAAAATTTCAAATCAAATTCAATTGTGTCAAATGAATCTTCAAACAGAACTGTCAAGGATCCCCACCCTAGAGAGCTTTTATGGTGCCTTTTGCGCCTACCATGCATGAATACATGGATAGCATTATGCTCCTTCCTTAGTCTTCTTATTCAAAGGTGTATACCAATTTTGGTGAAAATCCCACGATTTCCAGTTTTCCTAATAATTACCCATTTTAATTCACAGACAAATTGTAAAATGCAAAACAACCTTTTTATTTTGAAAATACGTCTGAACAAATCTTATATTATTCTGTAAGAACGTGTGCTACCAGTTCCCAAATTTGTATAAAAAAAGATGGAAGAATTTTAGGGAACTCGCATATTAAAATCTGTTCAGCAAAAGAATATATGCCAAAGTAATGTTTTTAATGATATTATGTTTTCTATCGAAAATATTCTTAAATATTCTCTCGCTAGACAGACTAAAATAGGTGCATTAAGTCATTATTTCACTTACCTTATAATACACATCAGGAACATATTGTTTGTCAGACGATTCTCGGACATAACCTAATTCTGAAACGTCTTTGGTGGGAACTAGACAATTATCCTTCACTAGAGCCATGCACTGGTTGGAAACCTGATACCCCTCCATGTGAACTTGGTTTGTTTTATCACCTGTAAAAATCGTAGGATCATAAGCATTAAATAACTGTCAAATCCTTATATCTCACCTGTTACACAAATGGTAACAAATTTAGACCCGAATGATCCACTTGATGCGTATTTGCAAGCGTTGGGATGTAAGTTTTGAAAATATCCCGCCATAATACATTCCTGAAAAATATTATAAATATTATAGATGTGGTATGTACAGGGTATGGTCAAAAAATTCACAACAAATGGGAAAATATTTTATTATTGAGATTTTAGAAAAAAGTTTGTGTGGAATTTCTCAGTGTGGAATGTGGAATTTCTTGTGGAACTATCTTAGCGACATATTACAAACATTCTCTTCAATATACAAAAAGTAAGGTTAGGTGACAAAATATCAGAAAAGGTCAAAGAAGGAAATCGTTCAATAATAATTCTGCGTTTATGAACCAAGTCTCATAAAATATACAGGGACTTTTAGAAAAATATCATTTTTTTTATATTTTTTCAGATTTTCGTAAAATTGTTTATTGTTTATTATTTTAATACATTATTAAAGTAATGTTTTTTGTTTTTGTTTGAGTTTGTATTTTTTTTAACAACACAACATGTAAAAATAAAAAATGTACCAAACTTGTTTCAATGGCTTATAGAAAAAAACATAACATTAGTTAGTAAATTAGTTTTTTCATATACAAGAGTATCAAATTATTTAAAAAATCTATAAAAATGTTTTGAATGTTTTAGTTTAAAATTTTAGTTTCCTATAGACCATTTGAATCCATTTTTAATTTTTTTTACAATTTACTGAGGACAGTAAAACTAAATTAATACCTAAGATATTATTATTATTAGATTTGGCTTGTCTTATGTCATTCTAACAGAAGAAATACTACTTTTATTTTATTTTCAAAAAATATTTGAAAACCTGAAAGGTTAAAGCACTTAGCAAAACATAATCACCCAAAAGCTCATTCAAATAGGAATAACGGTTCTTAAAATGTATTCTAGCGGATAAACGAAGCAGTTTTGTATAGAGGTAAATTTTGTCCAATAAACTTATTTTGATACAAAAAATATGTAGGAACATTGGGACACCCTGAATATTCAATTAATTGATTTTTAAAACAATATTTATAATAAATCTAGTTTAACTTTACAATCATTCATTTCACATAAGTTTTCCTAATATCACTGAACAGGACCTATAGTAATTGCAAAACATTTTCTGATGCACGTCATCAATCATATTGACATTGACACTAAAGTCTATAAACCTGACTAAATAAAATTTTGGCAAAAATGTTTAAATTTGTTATATAATTTAAGATACCGAGCAGCTCTTCATTTTACTTTATAGAGCACATGATTGTAACAGATATTTTATTTAGATTAAAGCTGCAAAAACCGAATTTTATTATCGTTATGTTGGTCACATTTGAGTTTCGTAGAGGGGTGAAAAGATGTGTGTCAATATCCTGTTTAGCTTTTAGTTTGTGTGGTCAGTTTCTGTGCTGCAGTAGTAACACAGAGACGGTACATATATTCAAATTGGAAGAACCGAGAGATAGGTAAATATTGTAATCGCGGAACATTTTCCGATGCACGTCATCAATCATATCGTCATTGACACTATTGACAAATGAAATTTTGGCAAAAATGTTTAAATTTTTTGTATAATTTAAGATACCGAGCAGCTCTTCATTTTACTTTATAAAGCACATGATTGTAACAGATATTTTATGTAGATTAAAGCTGCAAAAATTAGTTTAAACCGAATTTTATTATCGCTATGTTGGTCACATTGCGCCGTTTTCAGCAAGGCTGTCGTTTACTATTTGACAATTATCCTAAATGTCAGTCATTATTGTGTATAATATCGTGTTGTTGAATCTTTGCGAGTATTCTCGTTTTTTTGCCTATTTTCATAGTTTTTTTTTTAATTGGACTTTTAAGCACAAAAAGTTCTTTTATTGGACTAAATTTTCGAGTTTTCTTGAAACTGTGTGTTGAAAATATGCCGACGCATTTAAACAGTCGAAACAAACGCCTTGTAGTTTCCCTGATAAACTATTTTGAACAAGAACGTGATAATAAAGGTCCTTTATTACCCTTGACTGCAGTCAGAGAAGTAAGATGGATTGATAAGCACATTACACCACTATCAAAGTTATTTCTACGTTAGTTTTCATTAAATTCTGTGATTACTAGTTTGTGCATTAATAGCACCCTCTTGTTATTACCACTTATTGCGTTGTAAGATGTACATCAATAAATAAATAAATAACCCATAATAACGCTTAGAATAATCTTCGTAATGGAGTAGTTATTGCCAATTGCAATAAGTAAAATAAGCTATAAAACAAATAAATCAATTAATTACTAAAATATTAGTTACTAAATTAAAAATAAAACGTAAAAATCTTTAAAAAATGATATAATAAACATATTGTTTGTCACTCTTAAATTAAGATTCATCTCATAAATCCATCACGATCTGGCAGCGCTGTCGCCATCGCTTGTCACTCAAATTTGATCATGTGCATCGGAAATTGTTTTGCGATTACCATATATGGCATAATTATTAATAAATATTAATTTTTAAATAAATTTAATTTGTATGTGTAAAAACAGAGCCCTACAAAAGTTAAATTAATTCAAAGAAAATAAAAAACTAACTTGTATTATTTATTGAGTCTTTAAATCCTTACTAGTTAATTGCCCTGTTCTAGTTTTATATCAAAAGTTTTGTGGTTAATAAAAATAAGCCCATTACCTGTGCCGATAGGAAATGTGATTCCACATTTCTTGTATGTTTTACAGTGCCCTTTTTAATATCTTCAGGCAACAGATCAGTAAAGATCCAACCAACTTTTCTCAAGCCCAAAGCACTTGCTATATGCTCGACAACTGCCTCCTTCTCATCTGGTAACAGTCTAATTGTGTCTCTAGAACTTTCCTGAGGTGGTTCATAAATAGCTACTACATTTGCTTTGATACCTATAAATTAAAAAATATAAGTTTATACAATATTAAAATCTGATCCATTTATAAACAGTATATTATCTTAAATCTTGAAATATTTACCTAGAGGTATATCAGAATGAACATCATAACTTCCATATAAAAATCCTATTCTCTGGTGACCCGTACCTCTCCAATAATTTAGAAACTTTTCCACTATTTTGGTGTTTTCAAATGTTACATTATCAACATGACGGTATGACTGAAATTAAAATGTTATAAAAAAAAACCTGATATAGTCACTTCTCTAATATAATGGCAGTCACCTGCATATTTAATGTAATCGCATTTGGTTGACACTTTGAGCAAATACCCTTAGGCCATGGTGGGTGGTCCTTGCAGCCAGTCTTGATACTACACGATATATCTTCAAGTGCCAAAAATTTTCCACGGTCAACTCCGGACATCATTTTGCGCAGGTAAGAATGAAATGATATATGTTTAATGTTATGATCTTTTAAATAAGTCTCATCGAATGGTTCCAATGGTGAACAATGAACACATTTAGAATTGGAATTGTGGCGACATCTAAAAATAAATATAAATGAATAAATAACTGAAAATTTTATATGTATAGAAATATAGTTCTATAATGATTTTTTTACTCACAATTTATCATCTCTTTTTCTTTCTATTCTACCCTCCAACTTGGACAAAATCTGATCAACCTCGTCTTCTTTTACAGTAGATTTTGCAGTTGCTAGAGCCTTATTAGAAGCACTACCAGGTTTGGAACCACTACTAGTTGAAGGTCCAGCTTCAGGTATTGGTTCTCCTGATGGTGTAACAGACTATAAAATTAGAAAAAGATAGAGATACTTATTTTTTTCATTTATATTCCATTTTCTTACGAATAAAACTGAGCCATTAAGTGGACTCAAATATATCATATCCCCATGTTTAAGGCCTATAGATCTGAGCGATTTCGTTTTACTGCTAGCTATTTCGTCCTTTTTATTTCTTTGTTTATACAAGGCAAATGCAAAACTATTTAAATTGAATGCTTCATAGATAGTTTCAAACAGTTGACTAGTAGTCGACGAGGGACTAATCTCGATTCTTCTCGTTCCTTCTGGACTCTGAATTCGTAATAACTAAAATTTTATAAAAATAAATCTTTGTCATCTTATATATTTTTGAAATTTTGAGGTTATATGCATGACAATTTAGTTTTCCTATCAATACAATGTTATAATATAACAAATTTTATGCTAAATTTATAATTATGCCACATATCTAGAATTACTCACAAGTTGTTTAGACATTCTGAAAAAAATAAATAGATTTAACTACCCTCTTCAAAACTTTTGAGTTTACTTGTCAAAATAGTTTAGGGAATTTGGAATTGGGAGAGCTGGAGGTTGTTAACCTGTTGTTAACGAAATCCAGGTAGGGAAATATGAAAATACAAAATTCCCTAAATTTATTTAAAAAAAACATATTTTTATAATAATTTTTAATAAATTAAACAATTAAACATTGGAATAACTGCACCAACCAAACAGTAAAATTTATTATATAAAAAATAATAGACAGAAGGTAGTTTTTAATTTATTTAAAGAGTACAAATATCTCTAGTTACTTGGGGTGTTTGATATATTTTTAGAGTTTCTATAAATAGATGGTTTCAAACAGGTAGATAATATTTACATTAGACTGTACAATTTATAATTAGAATATCTGTATAGTAGTGTATTTTGGCTGGATTATATTTTCCGCATTTATTAAGAGCGCACATTCTGAGTTCAATTTAAATTTTAGTTGGTATGGCGGGAATCCAAGACACAGGTGATAAAATGCAAATATGCGTTTTCATTCGAGATTCGAGATCATTCAAAAACAGGTGACAAGTGACAGTGAATAATCAATAATTTATTTATTGATAAACGTAAATTTAAAGGGTCGCAGTGACTAGGCTAAAAGAATACAAATTGTAGTGTCTTTATAAAACAACGTTCTATTAGTTAATTTTTGAATTTAAAATCATTTAATTTTGTTAAACTTAAAAGTATTTAAATTATAGCTAAAATGGAATCTCATGGTGTTGAACTTTATGTTTATGATTTATCCATGGGGCTAGCATCCCAGTTTTCTTCACATTTGATAGGTATGTATGAAATTACTGAATGTATCATTTATAATCCTTTAATTACTATCTTTTTGAGCCACAATAAATATATGTACTCTTTGTTAAAATGCAAAATACTATATTATAAATAGAGATCATAAACATAAATCAAAATCATGTTTTCAGGTAAACAACTTGATGGCATCTGGCACACATCTACTGTTGTTTACAATAGAGAATATTTTTTTGGATCTCGAGGGGTTGAGAGCTGTAATCCAGTAAGTATATTACCACTTCAATTTTATACCCTATTTACGGTATGTACTATAGTAGGTACGCAATAGTAGCAATTTTTTGGCACAAGGAACTCAATTTTCTTTTTTCATTTATTTATAAACATTTGGATAATATGCATCAAAAATTTTGCGTTGGAGATCCTAAAACTATTTTTAGCCAAGTTGAGAGTAAAGTTACAGTTGTGAGATGGCTCTGTTAGTAGAGCACGTTTTACTGATTGTACTTTAGTTTAGAAGCTGATGTGTAAACGTAAAAATTCTATATTTGGTACGGTTTATAAATAAATGTAACTGAATAGATCCAAACTTGTTATATTTGTTAGAATTCTCTTTATAAAGGTGGTTAATTGTCTTATATCTGCATGCAACTTTGGGTTTATAATTAGATTCACACCACATTTCTTTTTCTTTACTTTGGACCACTTATAATTAGGTTCTCTTTATTTAGCTTCGAATATTTTTATAGGCATCAACCTTTTTGGGACCTCCAAAGGATATTAAATTTTTGGGAGAAACTGAAGTACCATATTCTGTATTTTCAGACTATTTAGCTGGGCTTTCTAATTCTACATATAGGTAAGTACATAAAATAAACATTTTGTGTGTATTTGTGAATGTTATATTTGAAGTTTATAGACAAAAACTGTATCTTTCTAATTGCTAATAATATTAAGAATAATAATATAATGTGTGTCATAATGTAAAACTAAAATAGTAACTATGTGGGTGGCATAGACAGCATGACTTTAGTGTTCCAAAAAACCTCCATATCAGGTTTTCTATTTAAGATTTTCACTCAATTTTTTATAAATTATGGAAACAACAATACCTTAGATATACAGAGTGAATCAAATATATTTTAGACTGTATTTTTTCTGGGTAGATTTGCCATTACACACTCTAAATTTTTGTTATACGCGGATGATCTCAAAATTTACAAGGTAATTCAGTCATTGGATGACTGCTTTAAGTTGCAACAGGATTTGAATGGATTGAGTGAATGGTGTAGGTTGAATGGGATGTCATTGAATATATCAAAGTGTAAAGTAATGCAGTTCTACAGAAAGAAAAATGTTTTATTTTATGATTATAAGATTCAAGATGATATTTTAGATAAAACTGATGTGATGAAAGATCTAGGTGTATACTTTGTTAAGGATTTGAATTTTAATTATCATATTAACTTCATGATAAACAAAGCGTTAAAGATGTTGGGTTTTATTAAAAGAACGTTAACTGATTTTAATGACATAAACAGTATCAAAACTTTATATATTGCCTATGTGAGATCGATACTAGAATATGCTTGCCCAGTCTGGGGTCCATATTATAAGATCTATGTGGAGCAGATCGAACGTATACAGAGAAAATTCTTGAGGTTTGTGGGCTTTAAGATGGGAATCCCCGTGGAAGATATTGCATTCATTGAATTTGCCAAGTTTGGGAGATCGGAGAAAATTTATAGATATTTGCACACTTTTCAAGATTCTCAACTCACAGATTGACTGTCCCAGCTTACTAAGCGAACTATCTTTGCATGTTGCGGGGAGAATTTTGCGTGGGTTCGATCTGTTCCATATGCCTTTTCACAGAACTAATTATGGAATGTCATCTACGCTTACAAGATTTTGTGTAGAGGCTAATCAGATTATTGATAAAGATTGTGATATCGACTTCTTCTGTGATAATATAAATAGTTTCAAGAATAAAGTAAAGGCGGTGGTTTTCTGGTAATTTATTGTAAAGTCTCTGTTGTGATGGATTTTATTCTGGTTGTAATTATAGTTGTTGTTGTATGTACATTTAAATGGCTGGTCCGTAAATATATTATTTTATTTTATTTTATTTTATTTTATTTTATTTTATTTTATTTTATTTTATTTTATTTTATTTTATTTTATTTTATTTTATTTTATTTTATTTTATTTTATTTTATTTAAATTATGGAAGCAACAATACCTTAGGTATACAGAGTGAATCAAATATACTTTAGACTGTATTTTTTCTGGGTAGATTTGCCATAAATTTTCATTCCAAATACCATAATATTGTGTTGTTTTTGAAAAACAGTTTTTATATTACATGTTACTTTTTCTAACATTCTGCTGTACATTGGTCATTTTTAGCTGTACCAGCTGAATAAGTCATATTTGTTAATTAGTCAAAAGTCAGTACATTACAAATTAATTTGATTTTTAAATGAGCATTAATAATTGAAGACATACATATTTAATCAAGGATTTTTTTCTTAAATGAAGGAAAATATAATTGATTGAACGAAAATATCTCAATAAATCTTGATTCTAGTAAGTTTTTAACAAAACTTAATTTGATAAAAGCTGTGTTGATTTATGATATAAAATACAGGGTTGTTCACCACATACGACACGGAGTATTGTAGCTAAACGATTAAATTTTTACAAATTGTAAGTTTTGGGTTCGTTGAAGGACTATTAGAGCTACAATTTAAAAAGATTTTTACAAGATACAGAGTGTCCCAAATAAATAAAAAATACCAAAGTTGTATTTTTTTAAACGGAATACCCTGTATATTATTGCATTTTTAGTTTCTACGATTAAAATAAAGGTAAATTTGATTAAGGTTTATTACACCTAAATCTTACCGTTTTTGAAATATTTTAATTTTGTAAAATTGTAGTATAAATTTTAAGGCTTCATTTCTCCGAGGGTATCAAAATTTTTAATACTAAATATTTACTGAAGTTTATTTATTGATCAGTTATTGTGTTGCAATAATAAAAATTATACTACCTTATACATAGAGTGTTTAAAAATTTATTTTAAATAATTACTAGCTTTAAACGGCAATAACTTGTTTAATTTAAATGGAATACCCTGTATATTTTATGAGAATCAGATGCACAATTTAATTGTCTATCAAATTGTATTATACCACTTTTTACCTATCCCTTCAAGTTTTCGTAGAAAATGCATTTTTTATAATTTAGACCTCATTTATCAATATACCCATGGAATATTGACATTTTAGATTGTTTTTAAAACAACAAAAGTACAAAATGTACAGGCTAGTAATATCGTTTTTAGTAAAACGATGATATTACTAGCCCATTTATATGCAAAAAGAAAACTATTTAAATCTTTATAAAAGAGTATACAATTAATTAAATATACCACCAGTATTTCCGCCCAAATACTAATTAATCACATACTTAATTGTGTTCGTTAATAAATTATCCTAAATAAATGTGGATTTGAATCAGAAATCAATATAATAATAAGTTATGAAAATGAACATCTCTGTCTCGGTCTCTGTTGTTATAAATAAGAATTTGTCAAAAAGTGAAATATCATTTTTAAGGTGTTTGGTTTGGTTTGTTTGTGTTTTTTTTACCACACTGTCTAATACACATAAATATTATAATTCAGTTTTTTAGTATTTGGAGCAATTATTATTAATCAACGCAAACAGTCAATTAATGTAGTTTGAATACTGGAATCATATTAATTGTAGGGCTGCACCGAGTACCGAGTAGTTCGGTGCTCGGCCAGAATTTTAACCGAGTAATATGTACTCGGTGCTCGGCCTTACTCGGCCGAGTAGGCCGAGTAAAGTATGGTAATAGAAACAATCCATTTATGCATGTCCAAAACAGATAGAAATGAGACTCACAGTGGCAAATAATAAAATAAACAAAAAGTTATTCATTCATAACTTTAATTAATGTATTTAAGCAAAGTAATAACAATAAGTATAAGTAATAACACAAACACAGTGAAATAATAATTTAATACTTATAATCTAAAAGAGGTCAGCACCGTAACTCATTTTAATATAACTTTAAAGGGTATTATTAATTGTTTGAATTATTTTTGACTTTTAAATTAGTTACACATATAAGTTTTGCTTAAAACAAAATCGACGTCGCCACCGCACCTTAATAGAATCAATTCAGAATCCAGCACATTGGAAATATCAGTTTGCATGGGGAACCACAGAATAAAACAATGTCTCCATAAGAAAAACAAACCAGGTCATTGGTTTGTAGTCGGGGAATCCCAGCCGCTCGCCAATCATAGGCAAAACAAACAAGATCATTGGTTTAAGGCCGGGGAATTCCGGGAATTTTAACTAGCTTTCTTTAATATTAAATTATATATTTATATTTATATTATGTATAAAATATAATATTATGTTATGGTGTATAGTATAATTAGTATACATATATTGATAAAGGTCGCAAAACTGTTAAGACTACTCGGCAGCCGAGTACTAGGTACTCGGCCATTACCTTTAGCCGAGTACTCAGTACTCGGTCACGTTAAAAAACAGGGCTCGTTACAGCCCTAATTAATTGGTCCTCTTTAACAAATATTTAAACAGTTTTTTTATTTCTTAATGAAATAAACGAACTATATTGACAATATTAGTATCTGTACTCTTTAAAAATTTGGTACATCTTTAAAAATAATCTAAAATGTCAGTATTCCATGGGTATATTGATAAATGAGTTCTAAATTACAAGAAAATGCATTTTCTATGGAAGCTTGAAGAGATAGGTAAAAAATGGTATACTACAATTGATAAACAATTAAACTGTGCATCTGATTCTCATAAAATATACAGGGTGTTCCATTTAAATTAAACAAGTTAATGCCGTTTAAAGCTAATAATTATTTAAAATAAATATTTAGACACTCTGTATAAGGTAGTAAAATTTTTATTATTGCAACACAATAACTGATCAATAAATCAACTTCAGTAAATATTTAGTATTAAAAACTTTGATACCCTCGGAGAAATGAAGCCTTAAAATTTATACTGCAATTTCACAAAATTGAAAATATTTCAAAAACGGTAAGGTTAAAGTGTAATAAACCTTAATCAAATTTACCTTTATTTTAATCGTAGAAACTAAAAATGTAATAATATACAGGGTGTTCCATTTAAAAAAATACAACTTTGATATTTTTTATTTATTTGGGACACTCTATAACTTGTAAAAATATTTTTAAATTGTAGCTCTAATAGTCCTTCAACGATACCAAAACTTACAATTTGTAAAAATCTAATCGTTTAGCTACAATATTCCGTGTCGTATGTGGTGAACAACCCTGTATATCTTTTGATTTGACTCACTATGTATATTACAAATTAATGTAGTTTATTTTAGTGTGTGTATTCATGAAGAAGACACTATTATAAAATACGGTATGATCGAAAAAAAAGGCGTCGAGATGGCTTGGGAATGACTATTCCAGTTTGAATGAGATTTTGGGTGTCTATGTTTTACTAAATACTTTAAAATTTGACTTTCTCAAAAATCAAGAAAAAGTGCGGGAAGGGTGAAAACTAACCACCCTTACATAAATTTTAGTATAATATATTAGTATATACATAGTATAGTATAGTATATTATTACATAAATTTTAGTATTCGACATCACCGATGACCGATTTTTTTTCGTAAAATGGTCCTCTTAGTATTTACCAAATTTTTTGTCTATCGTTATCTCTATTTATGACAATGAACATATTTTGATTCCAAAAATACAAAATGTCCATGGAATATTGCGACACCCTGTATATGTTGTTCT